TGTCACCAACCCTGTGATTCTCAGGCACTTCCTCCACCTTTTCCCTCCCTCCATTCCCCTCCCCCCATTCCCACCTCAAACATTTAGTCATTTCAGGAGCTCCTCCTTTTTCCCCCTCAAAACATACTGGCAGGAGAGGCTTCGGACTCCTTTCCCGCGGTGTGGTGACTGATAAGACTGAGGCCACACTCCTCTCCTCCAAAAGCATTAGGGGGTTTTTTATTATTATCATTTTAATTTTTTGAGATGGAGTCTCTCTCTTTTTGTCCCAGTCTGGAGTGCAATGGCACAATCTCGGCTCACTGCAACCTCCACCTCCCAGGTTCAAGCGATTCTCCTGTCTCAGCCTCCCGAGTAGCTGGGATTACAGGCGCCTGCCACTATGCCCAGCTAATTTTTGTATTTTTAGTAGAGATGGGGTTTCATCATCTTGGCCAGGCTGGTCTCAAACCCCTGACCCCAGGTGATCCGCCCTCCTTGGCCTCCCAAAGTTCAGTGATTACAGGCATCAGCCACCACGCCCAGCCAGGCATTTAATTTTATTTCAGGAGATAGGCACATCAAATGCACCTGTCCACACTTCAGACTTCCGAGAGTGGAAAATCCACCCTGGGGAATGCTGTTGTCCAGAGGTGAGGCTATAGAGTTGGGGTGGGTCACTGAGGATGAGTCTTAGGTTGCCTTCCTGGTGCCAGTCAAAGCATTTGACCAAGCACTGCTCACATCTTAGACCTAATGGCCAATTGTGTCCTTTCTCTGCTATGTCTGCTCCCAATCTGACACATCCCTTCCTTAGATGGTCCAGTAAAATAAATCCTCCAGTAAAATAAATTCCTTGAGGGCAAAGGCTGCTTTCACAGTCACCACTATATCCTCAGTACTCAGTACAACATCAGGTCTGAAACACAGGCTCGTGAAATATTGAAATACCTGAGCATATTCCACTTTGCGTGATGCCCGAGTGGCTGCTGTTTTGTTTTGTTTTCTGAGATGAAGTCTTGCTCTTGTCACCCAGGCTGGAGTGCAATGGCACAATCTCGGCTCACTGCAACCTCTGCTTCCCATGTTCAAGTAATTATCCTGCCTCAGCCTCCTGAGTAGCTGGGATTACAGGTGCTTGCTACTATGCCCGGCTAATTTTTGTATTTTTAGTAGAGACGGGGGTTTCACCACGTTGGCCAGGCTGGTCTTGAACTCCTGACCTCAGGCAATCCACCTGCCTCGGCCTCCCAAAGTGCTGGGATTACAGGAGTGAGCCACCATGCCCCGCCTGCTCTCTTTACTAAGAGTAAAAGCCAAAGCCCTCACTAGGGCCCCAAAGGCCCAACACGGTCTGGCTCCCATTACCTCTCTGCCCTTCTCTCCTCTGCGTCTCCAGTCTCCTCGCTGTGCTCCAGGCCTGCTGGCCTCCTCTCTCACTGTCCTCCTTCTGCCACCCCAGAGCCTTCGCACTTCCTGTTTCTTCTGCCTCACGATACCCACAGCCTATGGTGCTTGTTTCTTTCAACCTCTGCTCAAATGTCTATTTCAAATGTCGCACTTCCTCACAACCCTTCATCCTCTTAAACCTACTTTATTCTGTTCCCATAGCACATCACTTTCTAAGATAATATATGCCATACCCATTTATTTTTCTTGCATTATAGCTCTCCCTATTAGCATATAAACTGCACAAAAGCTGGAAATCTGTTTTCTTCATTGTTGTCTTCCTGGGATGTCAGTCCCTGACTGATACACATCAAGCACTCCTGGAGTATTTCCAGAATGAATGACTTCCAAAACCTATGAGCAAGAAACAGACTCACCGTCACTCACTTGCTTTTCCTTATGACTCCACATTGTAAATATGCACAAACAATGGCTAATTTACAAAAGGGTGCTTCTTCCCCACCTACCCCTATTGTGCCTCCTGTTCCACCTGCTTCATCTCACCCTCCCTCTGATGTCATTTCTAATTAAATAGAAAGTCTCCTCCCATCTCAAACTTCATCTGCATTAAGACCCTTATTACAACGGACTCCTGAAGCCCGTGCGGCTTTGCTGCCCAGCTGCCTGAAAAACCGCAGGAGCTAAACTACGGGTGGTCCTCTTGGCCCGTCTCCACCAGGTCCCAGATGGCACATCTTCCAGACAGCAAATCTAATACACGTAAAGTCTGAACAAGTCACAGTGCTCTGTGATTACCGAGGAGAGAACCTCTTCAGAGTGATCATCATTATATAGCCATATGACAGTCCTCTCTCCTGACATATGGGCTGGGAGTTAGGATGACTGTCACCCCACTTAGTTCCTAAATTGGTGAAGGGCAAAAGAGCATTTCTTCCGACCTGGTAAAACCTCACAGTAGCTGGCGTGATGGTTTTCTCCCAGTAAGCGTTCAGTGCAGAGATGTTGACACACAGTGGAAATGAGGAAACAGAAGAGAAATATGGGCACGGCTTAGTTATTTTTCTAGAACTATGTCATTACCAAACACAGGTGATGGCTCTAGTAGGGGTGTGGCCCAGGTGCACAGGACCTGTTTTGGCAACATGTGCAATAAATATACAGAGAGATGCCAATTCGAAGAAAGGTGTGTGCACAGAAGGAACTCGAAGACTTTTATATCTCTGTGATTTCACGGTCTTTTTTTGTAACATCTAGTACGCACCAAATATTCACAGGAAAACTTATCATCCAATTTTGTAACTTTTTATTTTTATACCAAATGAATGTACTTTTCCAGATTTAAACATAAGATGTAGAATTTCCAGAAACAGCTTCTTATCTCATAATTTCTAAATAAATTTAAATGTAATTCAACTAATTCACCTGTTATTTATGATTCAGGTATTTATTTTTCAATTGGAGAAAAAGTAACCATATTACCATGGTTCCTGGTGAAAAAAAAAATAAACAACACAAAAGTATAAACAATTAAGAAATTCTGTGAGTGTACTACAGCCAGGGTGGCACTAAAACATCCACTCAGATATGGCTGGGGTGGCAGCCCCTGCCGCATGGCTACAGAAACTCAACAGTTTTCCCTGCTACAATAGCAGCTCCTTTTCTGCCAGCTGCTGCAGATCTCACAGTTCTCTTTCCTTCTTTCTTTCCCAGTTCTTATATCCCCTCCACTGCCCCCAATACCCTTCTTATCAACTTGTCAGTGATGGTTGGAGAGGTGAGTCCAAATGACAAAGGCCAGGGTGGGGCACAGCCTGTCCTGTTTCCATGAACCCCTCCCTCCATCCCAGCCCTCCCTCCCCAGTACTGCAGCTCCTCCTCACCCCAGTGCCTGCTCCCTTGCAGTTTCCCTGCTCTGGTCCCAGGGCCTCGACGCGCCCTCATAGGACACTCCTCACTCCAGAGTATCTATCCTGGTTTCTATATTCACAGCATACAAAGCCCTAATTCCAAGCCCAAGATCTTCTTTGTCTAGCCGTAGGAAATCCCACCAGTAGCTTCAAGCTGACAACCAACATGGAGCCGGCTGACTGGCATCTCAAAAAAAAGAAAAAAAAAAAACCTCTGCTCTCACTCATGGACCTGCAGCGAAGGGCGTGCATCTTCCTGGTATTGACCTTGGCATTGGCGGTGCGCCTCCCCATAGGAACGTGTTGTGCTTGGAGAGTGGAACATGCAGTAACATACACAGAAACACCCTCCAGGAATAGGTGGGAGGTGGGGAAGGGAGAATAATCCCTACACAAGGAAAGGAAAAACCTTCACAACTGTGGGAAACCCTCCAAGTTGTCAGGAATAAATGTCCCAGGTAAAAACTGCTAGGCTGAAATTTCTCACCAAACTTCCTTTTTCTTCAAGGCTCATTCTTGGAGAAACGTACACCAGTACAGTCAACTCATCTGCCTTCTACATCTGAATTATGTCCTCCTCCCTTGCCCTAAATTCATATGCTGAAATCCCAATCCCCAGTACCTCATAATATGACTGTATTTGAAGATAGGGTCGTTAAAGTGGCAATTAAGTTAAAAGGAGGTCACTAGAGTGGGCCATAATCCAATATGTCCTGTGTCCTTATAAGAAGGGGAGATTATGACACAGACGCACAGAGGGAAGACCATGTGAAGTTCACAAGGGGTAAGCAACCACTTAGAAATCAGGGAGAGAGACCGCTGAAGGAGCAAACCTCCCTGACACCTGCAGAATTGTGAGAATATAAATTTCTGTTGTCTAGGCCACATAGTCTGTGATATTTGTTACAGAAGCTCTAGAAAGCTAACACAATATCCCTAAACACTGGCACTGGTGTATAAATAAGATGACCCTCATTGGCAGTTTAAATATGCCTGCCTTTGTTTTCATGTGAAAATCTTATGCAAGCTCTTAATTCATTAGACAAAAAGAAACTTTTGAAATGCCATCCCTGTTGGACACTGATACCTAGAAGGGGTTTCAAATATTTTTCAGACACCAGTTTTGTAATCTAACAGGAATACATGGGAGGTACCTACCTGAGAAATCTTTCTGATCTCTAAATTCAGAGTTTAGTCAAGTGTGGCTGTGCATGTCTGTAATCCCAGCTGCTTGGAAGACTGAAATGAGGGGTTACTTGAGCCCAGGAGTTTGAGGTTACAGTTGCTGCACACCAGGCCTGGGTGACAGAGTGAGACCCTCATCTCAAAAAATAAATAAATAAATATATAAATAAGTGGGGGGAAATAAATTCAGGGTGTAGAAATCTGACAGTTAGGGTGTGGAGTGTAATCTATTGGCAATTTTTTCTTCCATTCTTCCACTGTAGCAGAAGACTTAGCTAAGCAAAATGGGCACCAAATCAACAGTATATTTCCCAGCCTCCCTCTTCATCGTAGTCCTTGCTCCCCTTGCTGTTTCCCTGAACCTCACTAATAGAGCTCAGCAATAAGACTAGGATTTAGCTACTGGGAAGTGAGCAGAAGTGTACAACTTTCAAGTCGTATCCATGAACAAACAAAAGCATGCCCCTCTCTTCTTTCCTTTTACCCCTGAGTCTGAATGCAGAAATGGTGATGACCTACCTTTAGGACAAGAGTATTGCCTTCAGAATTTCAGATATTGAGAAGGAAGGAGCCTCAGTCCCAGCATAGCTGAGCTTCTTGACATTCAGGGCTCCTCAGATTGTTCCATGAGAATGATATGAATTTCTTCCTTATTTAAGTCATTGCATTGTGGGTTTCTTATTATAGCAGACTAGATTGTTTCTTAACTAATACTCGAGTGCTGTGAAATTAAAAAAAAAAAATAGATAAGAATCTGGACAGGATAAAAAAAGAAAAAGCATGAAACATTTCCTATATATATCATTTATCAATGCACTGATTTATCACTTAAAATCAACGCTTTTTTACAAATCAAGGGAAAGCCAAATGATCAAAAAATGGGCAAGATAGTTAAAAAGGCCCTTCACACAAACAAAACATCTACATGAAACTGAAACATAGGAAAAGGTACACAATCTCATTGGTTATCACATGACCACAATACAACCCCAAAACCCCTAGGGTGTTGTCACCAATGTGAAGTGAGTGGAGTTTTCCTACATTCTTTGCTGGTGGGAAGGTGAGTGGTATAATCATGTTTGAAAGCTCTTTGGCACTGTCTACTGCCAAGAGCTGATTATATGCAGATAGTCTGCCCTACCAGTTGTGACACCTAAACAAATGTGTGCCTATATTTCCCGAAAGGCATACGCTAGAATGTTTTAAACAGCATTATTCATACTAACCCTAACTGAAAACATCCAAATGTCCACCAGTAATAGAGTAGATGAATAGATTGTACAATGTTTATACGGTGCAATACTATATAGAAACGACACAGTCACACAAAACAACACAAATGAATCTCACAAATGGAGTGCTGAGCAACAGAAACCAGACACCAAAGAGAAGAGAAACTTCCTGACTCATTGTGCCGGGCAGCTCTTTCAGCCCAGGGAACTTCTGGGTTCTAGTAAATCCTGGCCAGTGGCTCCCTTGGTTGCCTGATCCTTTCATGATAGCAACACGCACGTATGCTTCGTGAATGAGGACATTCAAGACTCAAAGAAAGACGAATTCTCCTTCCTAATCTGTTATAGCCAAATAAATTAGAAGGAAAGGTAGGCTAGGCGTGGTGGCTCAGGCCTGTAATCCCAACACTTGGGGAGGCCCAGGCGGGCGGATCTTCTGAGCTCGGGAGTTTGAGACCAGCGTGACCAACATGGGGAAACCCCGTCTCTACTAAAAATACAAAATTAGCCAGGCATGGTAGCAGGCACCTGTAATCCCAGCTACTTGGGAGGCTGAGGCAGGAGAATTGCTTGAAACCAGGAGACTGAGGTTGCGGTGAGCCAAGATCGTGCCACTACACTCCAGCCTGGGTCTCAAAAAAAAAAAAAAAAAAGGAAAGGCTCAATGACACATTATCATAAGGAAAGAAAACTTTACATAGCATATTTATAAGAAGCAAGGTAATGAGTTTTAGCTCAAGTAAGTTTCCAGTGTCTGTGTGTGGCTGGAAGCTGAGACTTAGCAAGAAAAGGCTGCAACTGATTGATAAGAGATGACTTGGGCAGACAAAAGTGTTGGTCATACAAGCAGAGAAGAAAAGTCTTATTTAAAAAGTTCTCTGAGTACACAAAGCCAGAAAAAAACATGCTTATAAAAACAAAACTTTGGAGCCAGATGGCTCTAGGTTCTAATCAGGGCTGTGTAATTTACTATCTGTGTAACCTTGGGCAAATTACTTGACCTCTCTGATCCTCTATCTGCCAAATAGGGAGAATGATTATTTCTATCTTGCAGCAATTTTGTGCAGATAAAAAGGAATAGACATGGTACTCAGTAAATTTAGGCTATAATCATTTCTATAGTTACTACTAATTTTATTCTTATTATTATTATCATCTGCATAATTTAGCAGGGATATTGCCATTAAGCTACATGATTCATTGTAATTCTACTCAACATGATATATAAAGTACTTGCATGATCAACAGTACTGAATCTTAGGAAGAGATTTAATGTTTAGAAGATTTATTAGCTGAGGCATCGTTGTTCTTATGGCATTTTAAATAAGTTATATTCTAGTTGTTCTTATTCATTCACATGAAGTGAGTTATCCTCAGAGGTCCCCTGTCCTGCTATGCAAATATAAAACAAAAAGGCCATTTAGCCTTTGTCCATCAGCTTATAGAGTCATTTGAGCTCCCTTCTGTATGCAATACAAACCAATTGAAAAAGAAACCAAGGACAATTATTCAGATAAGGAGCAAAAAACAAAGGAAGAAACAAACAAAAAACAAAAAAGAAAAGAAAAACTTTATTGAATTATATTTTCTATGATGAGGCTCACCATGGAACTGTTCAACTACCAATTTCTTATAGTTTTTTCTTCTCATTTTGGTTTTCTTGCTATCACAAAATGATATGCAGTGGTTGCCTAAATAGGCTTCTAAAATATAAAAATCTTGTTTACAGACATGGCTTAATACAGAAACACCTGAAATAATGCTCACAGTCTAAGATCATTAGAACAGAGAACCCTCTAGCTTGCTACACACTGGAATTCCTAATCGCACCTTCAAAGGAAGGTGTATGTTAGTGATTGCAGTCTGGATTTATAGACTGTTTTGGATTCTCACATCTCTATAGTCATTTGCATAGTACAAAAAACATATTACATAAGAAGTCAGTCAAGCTAAATTATAGGCAGTTCTTTTCAATCAGGCCACTGCGGCTCTGTGTTGCTCAGTTCAGCTCCTTGTCTCCAACTGCTCAAAGGTTGCCATGGTGACCAGTTTTTGTCATGTACATTCCTAGGTCCCATGCAGCCCCCTTCTTCAGAGCACTTTGCCATCACGACAGCGACCGCTAGCTGTTATCTTATTATTTAATCTCCCCTTAGTAATACAGGTCACCTTTAAGGTGAATCCTTGAATCCCGAGTATAAATGATATGTTAGACAAACAAACAAAAAAATGTATACTAAATAAAATGGTAATAGGAATGACAAAAAATTAGACTACTTAACCTTCCATGAGGAGGAGCTCTATGAACTTACTCCCTTACTATTTTATAGCTACATCACTATCCAGTTCATTGGAAGACCGGTTTGATTCTTTTAAGACAAATGTAATAACGCGATTTAAAAACCATTGCACTGAGTTTGATCGACCATGCTGTAATCCATCTGATTGTTGAATTTTCCACTGTTATGACAGCTAAAAACAAATTCTCAGTATACTGGAAGAAGGAACTGAGGAGTATAAAGACAGTCTGATTTATCCATATGCCTAAAAAGACAATGTCATATGGATAAACTAAATGTCACCTTTTTTTTTCCTTTTTAAATATTGTAGGCTGAACGTCTTTCGAATAAAAACACAACCTTAAGAAAAATCACAAGAAACCAGATCAAAGACATAAATAGAACAAAATATGCACAAGAGATCTCATCCAAGATCAAAGATGTGAAAGTAATTGCCATGAATAAGAAGTGCAGAACTCACCAGAACAGAATGTCTTCAGTGCACAGAGAATTATACCCAAAAAAGAAAAAGAATAAAAGGAGGGGGAAAAAAGTCTTGGGGAAACCAAACCCTCCACAGATCAAGTAAAATGTCTTTATTTTCCCCTTAGCAGTAAGCAAAATGTCTATACCATCCCACTAAAATGACCAAATATGGGAGAATGCTTACCATATCCAAAAGAGAGAAGCATATCAGAATGCTGCCATTTTGTGGGCTAAGTATCTTTTTATGTTTTTCTTTCCTGCCAAAAATCCATCCCCCAATTTTTTTATTTTTCTAAATGTTTCTCTGTAAATCAACCTGGTACAGAGACAGTTTTCAAGTATGTGAAATGTTGAGGTGGCATTTGAGAGAGCAGCTTTGCTTGTTAAAATGAAGTAATTAATTTAATGCTTATGGGAGAAATAAAAAAAAAAAGTAGAGGGAGTTTCCTTTATTAAATATTTATCACTGGAGCCTTGGGTGGATGCCACTCAGAGAAGCAGTCGTTAGAGATGGGACATTGATTGAAGTGAATATTAAGTAGTGCTTTACACTAAATAACGATTGCTGATTTCTTGGGAAAAAATGTTCTTGAGATTCTTAGACCCTGTTCTTTCATAGTGCCTTACTGCATGTACTTAATTTTAAGTAATTCAGTCTTTTAAAAATGTGCCTCTGTCTCTGACCTTATAGAACTTTCATCACATTCAAGTCAATGAACCTAACTCTCTTCTACCCACTCAACAGCAGCAGGATGCAGGAAGGAGGAGAGGGAGAGGGAGAGCGAGCAGGAAATAGAAACAGAGAGACAACATATGAGAACAGGTGCTGATCAGGAATGCAAGCTCATTTCTGCAGAAAGAGGAGGAATAGTAAATTAATACTCTACGATTTCACGTAGCCATCTAGGGGAAGACAAACTTATAACTCCGGTAAAGTTTGATCAGATGTCAACTCTGAAAGTAAATTTTCTGAATTTTGTTTTTAAAGCAAAAAACATTTAGGGAATCTAAATAATGCACTTCCTAGTAGTATTTAGCCTTAAATATCTACATTAACATACACATAATTTTTTACTCTTCAAATAGAGGTATTATCATTGCAAATGGGGTTTAAAAAAAAATACACATTTAGGGCAATCTATCCCTATGAGGGTAATGTCTCCAACCAATGTACTTACATTCATTTTGACACTATTTCTTATATTGTAGTATTATTATGGAAAGTGGTATTTTTATGTCATTTTAGGTCCTGAGTCTTATCTGACTTTTATTTTGGCTCAAGGTATTTACATGTTTAATGAGCTAATTTCCTAGACTCACTTCACCTGAAAGCAGAATTCAGCCTTCACTTGCATGAAACAAAGCACTAATCAAGGACACAGGATTCCTGACCACAGCAATTTCCATTGCAGTGTGAAAGCAGAAGAAAACTATTGCTACATCTCACATATTGCAAGAGACAATATAAGGTGGAAGGAGAATAGAAAACATTATAAATAAACCCAGGATGTGGTAAGCAAGCCCTGAGAGACACTGGGGCTTGTGCCTCCTTAGCCCTAAGCATTTTTGAGACAAACACATTTGCCCAGAGGAAGGAAGCCATCTCCCACTGGCAATATCCTTGTAATTTTGATTGGAAGAATAAGCGTGGACTATGGATGAAGTGATTCCACCTCCTTCAGCTTCTAGAGTTTCTAAGGGAAACACTCTTTTCCCTAATCCAT